TACTTGCATTAATACCCAACGGTACATTCATATTGCGATGCATAGACATATCTTGTGGGGTTTCATCTAGACCACGTGTTTGTACTACCAACTAAAACCAATAAATCGTTTTTTTGCATTAACCACCAAACTATCAATGATACAACACATCTCGATCACGACAACCGCTCCCAGTGCCAATTCATAGTACAAACGCATTGTGCATGCTGGAGCATGCATACAGACAGTGCTACCTAACATCGTTTGTAACAGTCTATATATACGAGGACTATCAACTGCACTAGCTGTATCGTCTTATACGCTACAATGTACTGTTCGTAGGAACAGTCTTGTGAATCTGTGATCTAACCAGAAGGAGGGGGTATCCGCTAGTCAGACTTAGGCCGCGCTCTTCCATAAGCATCAGCTCAGCAACACCCGGAACATCTCTATCCAAACGAATGTCTAGTGGAATCAGGATGAAATCACATACAGCCTTATACTTCACTTCTATTACTATGAAGTTAGTGCTATAAAGTGTATTGTTTGGTTTATCTCTGATCGCACAACTAACACAGCGTGCATAGCCCGTTTTATAAAATCTATGTAAACCACTTGAGAGATCACATCCTAAAATACACACATACATACCCAACGAGGAGTTGGCTTTCTGATATGCTATCGCCAGGGACATGATAGTGATAGTCTTCCCTGTGCCTGAAGGCATTTCCAGTACAGCATGCCCTCGCGCATCTAATGCACGTTTGAATTCCACCATGTACTCATACTGTTCGGGGTATATGAAATCGTAGGGAAAGTATACTGTTAGACCATCGACGTCAATCTTCATGGTGGTGGTGGTGCTATATCTGCGATACAACCCGTGCAGCTATCAGGTATGTACGTAGTGCGTGTACACTAGGTGGTACGCTCGGCGTAGTGGCTTGCCGATACAACTCTGATACCTGGAAGTGATTCGAACTAGCTATAATTATACACACATATACATATACACATATATTTACATGATATTGCAGTTTGGAAATGTTCTATTTATGTTATAGGGTTTAGAGTTTTTGAGAGTAGTATGAAAATTGATGACGCCAAAGGAATCGCCGGCGATTTCACAATATCACGGCAGGGACACGCATCCCGCGAAAGGGAGGGAGCCGGTGTGAAGTGCCATGTAAATACGCTCCTTTATGCGCTAAATCCAAATGCTAAATGGAGAAATAGTTAGACATTCCTATTCCCGCTAACAAATGCCAAATGGAGAAATGTTAGGTCACGGAGACAAATTCCTTGGGCCGTGTAGATATGCTATAATTTTTTATTGCCGCCTATAAATAAGGGAATCGGGCTTTATAAACTGAGCTAAAACATCCATACGAGATAAACAGACAGACACTAAATATGCTTGGCTGATTATCTAACGATAGATGATTCGAATAAGGTCTTGTATTTTTATGTTGCAAGAATAATGCAGTGACGCCATGTTCCTTACCTCAGAAATTATAACGACCACTAGCATTGCCGTGAAACTATATAAGTTGGTACAAAACAAAACAGCAGGGAGCACCACAATCAATGCTATAAAAGCGGTATTCAACAACTACCCGCCAAACACCGAGAGTATTGTTCAGTTAAAGAGAGACTGAACGGGATATAATTGTGTTTTATTAGATCATAAACATCTTTTGATTTCTTCGATTCTTTCTAAAGATCTAGTTGTCCATCAATGCAACTTTTTATCTTAGAGCCTTGAATATATTTTCACTAACCTTATGTGCCAACAATGAACAAAAATTTGCAAAGTTGATATAACATTCTAATTCAATCTTTGCACACAAAATAATTACTTTTCTATTGATTACAACGAGATCATGCACGCAACGATTGCGATATCGAGAAACATTTAATTCGTACTCTTTTGGGCCATTATACACTGATGCTCAGTATCGGGAAAGATCTTCTTTTTGTCACCTCGATTTGAATCTGAAAAATCTAATCGACTATCGTACACCACGTTTTCCTTGGCCTCTTTCTCGCAGAAGGACTTATGCAGATTGCCGCCTTTGTCATGCCACTGGAAGTACGCCATAGGGCCAACAGGTACTTTAGGTTGCTGTAGCACTCTCGTCCCGGTGCAAGTGATATGAGCCTCGCCGTATTTTCTATTCAAAACTAGGGTGATTGTTGTAGTTCTTTTTGAATACTTTCTGGAATATCCTGCCTGTGCCTTCTCTTCACATGTTTGCCCTTGTAGGTTTGGGTATATTTCATGTGAGGATGTATTAGCGGTACACCTTATGTCTACAACAATTTAAATAAACTATGCTACTTTTCTATCTCTATGTTAACTAGATGGAGCAGAAACCAAAAGCACTTTCAACTCACCACGACTTGCTCTGCACTTCGTTATTATATACAATGATTGTCAAGTAAAATAAATATAAAAATATGACAAGTTGCCAGTAGCCGAAGTGTTCCTTCAAACCCTAAAATTCCGGATTTCCAATTTTCTTGAATCTCATGACAAAGAAAATGCCATAGAGAGTAAAACAAATGTTATTTTTTAGAAAGTGTTTATAAAAAAAACTAAGCACGGTTTAAAAAAAAACATTCTTAGTACATACAATACATGATACATAGTATGTATTTAACATACAGTTCTTGCAGCTGCGTACGTGATGCTCAAGATGAAATAGGCAATTATTCTACCCCTGCATATAGACTTGCGATATTTACAAGCACTAGCAGTGGGACTTGGGTGAGTTATCTAGCTAGTGCTATACATATTTTAAATACAGAAAATCCGAACTGTCGGTTGTTGCATTTTTTTAAATATAAAATATAAAACTAGCGGAATCTACGCCTAATCAGCTATTTTTAAATTATAAGTATTTGAATGACTGGGGGCGATATAAGTGGCGACCAGTAACAGCAATGCCCTTCCAGTTTGATTTAAAATAAATTGTCTATGTACATATACATATTGGAATTTGTTGTATGGCAGTTGTGCCAAACGCTTATAAAAGTATGATCATAGCAAAATATCAATAGACTGTGACTCTCTCACCCGTGCACAGTTCAAAATCAACAGTCGACCATAAATACATAAATAATTATCATATTCATAAAATAAATATGTAATACCGCTCGAGCCTCGAACGTACATCGCAAATGAATGACGTCATCATCCTCTCGCGGTCATTCCATCACATGTCCTGAATCCTGATGTCAGAGCCTCTCACAGGCCATTTAAACGCAAAACGTTTTAACGATCGTTTTTACGTAACAATTAAACGTTTAAACCACAAACAACATTTCCATCTGGATTTATATTTGTGCATTTGTTTGTCATTTCTACGTTTTTCAAAACGTATAAAATTTGAAACATTTGTGCGTTTAAGTTCAACGTATACGGCATTTTGGATTCACCCAGCAACCCGAATTGACAGGCAATTTTTTGACGTTTGAAAAAAGTTCAGTCATCAGTGTTCACAATATCACCTACATATTTCTCATTTTTTTTAAACATATAAAGAGCGTACAGACTGATCACCCTCGAGCTATCCCCATTCGTATTCACAGCAACATGACTTTCGACCTGCGCTCGCTGCTGCGTCCCAATGTACGGGATCTGAAGCCATACCGCTGTGCCCGCGATGACTATGATACAGGTAATGCCTGTACCTACCAATGCATCGTTCACGTTCAATCGTTTCCATTCGATGCGTACCGTCTGATGTCAATATTGTGCTCATACTGCTCACACTTATATGTGATTTGATGGTCACATCCGAAGTTGTAACCGATTCCTAGCTGTTATCGTACCGATTCAACTTCTTGTTCCTGTAAGCCTACTACGATATTCATTTCAAGTGGTTACAACAAATATGCATCATTATATATACGATTAGTCTGCGTATGCAAGCTTCATATCACGAGGAGCATATACACATACATACATACATATATATATCTCAATTCAGCCGTTGTTGATACGTTTGAGTTTCTCAATAGACTACAGTTCCCAGTCTTATATCCATACCATGTGTGCTAAATACAGTGACCTGACACACCACAACAATAGGTATTCTCTTGGACGCCAATGAGAACTCTTTCGGTGCTCCGATGAAGACGGAAGTGCCTGAGCTCAACAGATACCCTGACCCTCACCAGAGCGAGCTACGGTCGTTGATAGGTGTGCTTTAAAGCCATTCGTTTGTTAATGTAGGTTTATTATTTCGAGCATAGCTGCCAGATAGGTTAGAAGTGATGCTACGCATAATTGATTTCACGGTGTGGTATCGTTTACACGAACGCCAATCGGGTTTAGTCTATTGGCAGTGATGTTGATGCTAGGTATGGACAGATGGCGGATCGTAACTGTTATAACAGATGCTGGCACATAAGAGATGATATTGTACGTCAGGACTATAATATTTAAATATTATAATATAT